TCTTTTATTATACACTAGATTTAAAATTTCGAACGAATACTTTTTATCAAATTGCTTACTATTCTGCAGTGGAGAACTGCGCCATACCGATTTTTAAATCAAGCTCGTAAAGCAATACGTTTCACTCTCTAGGTCATTTATACTTCATATTTTGCAAGATAGGTCAATATTTTCATTTATCTAAGCCTTAAAATAATTCCAGTCTGTTAGACGGTTTGTTAATGTCAGTATGGGTAGCGTAGACAGTATGTTACATCCATAAGTAAGCAATATTGGAGAATGGTCAGAATTTAAGTCGAGTCCTGCTTTAACTTCAATGTGTCTTTTTTGAATTTTATTAACAATGAAGAAATGTTGAAGTATGTTGGAGAGTCAGTGAAGAGAATTTCAAAACCTGTGGCCTGACATGCTATAAGTAATTCCTTACCCTTTGTGGAATTTAGTCTTGACCCCCATTGAACATTTTTTGCATTAAAATCACCACCAATTATTGCTTTATGTTTGTGTAATTTTTATATATTTATGTATTGTTCATATTTTACGTAATGTCTTGGTGGACTATAGATGGACGTTATTAGGATTTTGGAACCACTCTCTTCAAGTGCAACGGTTGTTGCTGGAACTCTTCATTAGAGAGTTTATTATCTTGATAATGTTTAATGTTGGATTTAATTATAACGGCACTTCCGCCTCTGGCACTATTGCTTGGATGAATTGTATGATATTTATTATAGTTTTTAAAATGATATACTGATTCTTTTGTAAAATGAGTTTCGCTTATTAGGCATGTATCTATATTTTCTGTTTGCAGAAGTAATTCTAATTCGTTTTTGTGTTGGAGCAAACCATTTGCGTTCCATTCCATTATTTTGAGAGCAGTTATGTTTTCGTTCTAAGTTGTCTAGGCGGTTTTCTATTGCCATTAGTTTTTGAAGAATAACAGAGAGGATATTTTGTGATTCATCGGAAATGTTTATTTTTTGGGCTACGGAGGTTGTTGGCTTAATAGCGTCTGCATATGATACATTAGCGATTTTTCGACTTGTGTATACTATTGGTCTTTTTTTATTATCTGTTTGAACTGGGACAGGAAGTTTATTTGATTTTTGGTCTTTTAATTTTTGAAGCTCCTTTGCTACTACACAACCGCGATATGATGCTGGGTGTTGCTCTCCACAGTTACAACATTTTGGGTGACTATCATCAGGTTTTCACAATTTATAGTTTCATGCTTACCTGCACATTTCACACACCTAGGCTGCTTTTGACAGTAGTTTTTGGTATGGTTGAAAAATATATACTGATCACAGACCACTAGTTAGTCTTTTTACACACAAGAATCCATCTTCAAAACTAACAAGGATTAGGATAGATTTAATGGATTACAACTTCAACATTATATTTTAACAAGGGAAAATGAATACGAAGGTAGATGCATTATCTAGAATTCAATTAGATTCAAAACAACTAATTGAAATGATACCCAAAAACATAAATGTATTAACCAGAACAATAAGCAAAAATATTCAAGCACATAAAGAAGAAAGTCAAGAGCAAACCTTAAATGCTAACACGGAGATTGATCACCTCCACATGTGGAACGCGACATCAATATCGGATGTAAGGTTTATAAAGAAACTTGAATTTAAAAAGACAAACCATTCTGCAGATGGAATTAAAGAAAAAGCACTTGAACATAAGAATAAAAAGTTCAATAGAAACAGTGCAAAATATATTAAAGGTGGAAAAGCACTTGAACATAAAAATAAAAAGTTCAATGAAAATAAAAAGTTCAATAAATATTATAGCAGCAAATAAAATAGTTGTCAAATACAACGAAAAATCATTATCAGAGATAAAATTGATTTTGAAGAAGTTATTATTCAAGATGAACAATTTAAAAATTACAAAGCTATTTCAACGTTTTTTACATTTTTGATATTAACGTCTGTTTCAACGTCTCCATCATTTTCATTCCTAACGTCTGTTTCAACGTTTTCTATACTTTCATTACTAACGTTTGTTTCAACGTTTTCATCATTTTCATTCACGCATGAATTTTTATCATTCATGTCAAGATCATCAAAAACCTGCCCATTTGGCAACTTTCTTACATACTCATGCGGATACTTATACAACCTATTTGTATACAGCGACTTCAAGGTATACCTATCTATACCTATCTAACTGCTCTATAACCACGAATGGTCCTTTAAACTTAGTATCCAACTTAGTTTGATTTCTCTCTTCATTCTTAAGTAAAACAAAGTCGTCTACTTTGTGCTTAACAACCTTTGCCCTATTTCTACTAAATCTTGACTTGTCGTAATAAGCTGCACTTATTATATTTTTACTAGCCTGAGCTCTGACCTTACGAATATCAACTTCACTCTCCGTATCGGCTGGAGAAACTAGGCCCATCGGCCGCACCTCCTTACCAATTAACATTTCTAAGGGACTTGCTTTGGTAGCACGATTCATTGTACAATTTGAAGCTAGCTGTACCTCACCTAAAGCATCTTGCTATGTTTGCTGACCCGTTTCAACAGCAGACAATAAACTTTTCAATGTGCTCATAACACGTTCAACTTGACCGTTTGCGCGGCTCGCTCCTGTTGCAATCAAATTAAAGTCTACTTTCTGCGAAGAGCAAAATTCACGGAAACCCCTGCCGGCAAAGCACCTTTCTTGATCGGCAATTATACGATTAGGTACCCCAAACAGAGCTATTGACGATTTCAAAACATTTATACAGCTTTCTGAATCGATTTTAAGAGTATGATGTAAGAAAACATATTTAATGAAAGCATCTATTTGAACAATAACATATTCTTTGTGGTCACTCTTACCACTTAACTTTTCGGTTATATCAATGTGAACAGTATGCCAAGGTATTTTGACCTTGGGAATAGGATGTAATCTAATTTGAACTTTAACCGAAAGAGGTTTCACCAATTTACACGTCATACAATTTTCTACAAACTTTCTGACATACTTTGACATGTCGTCAAACCAGTAATGTTCATAAACCTTATCAAGTGTTTTCTCCCATCCTAAATGCATGATAGACTCATGTACCTGATTAATCACTGACCATCTGAAGGCGCGCGGTACAATTGGTAGGCATCGTGTTTTACCATTCCTTTGTATTTTACGATAAAGTACACCTGCCCTCAATTCATATGATTTTGCCAGATTCTCACCAATAACACCTGTATTTAATCTAGAAACAATATTACAAAGATCTGGATCCTGTTGCTGTTCAGCAAGAAGCCAGTTATTCGAAATTTCAACTAAATTAATTCGTTTTTCGGGGATTTTATTAGTAACCAAATTTGGTTCCGAAGGGAGAGGATTTCTTGACAGAAAGTCTACATGAGCCATACGCTTCCCTTCCCTATACTGAATGTTGAAATTAAATAATTGTAAATATGACCACCAACGGTGTACCCTAGGTGTTAGATCAATCTTAGTACGAGAAGCTTTTAAGGAATTGCAATCTGTAACCCCTAAGAACTCTAGACCTTTCGAAATGCTTTACAGAGTTTACCACTGCCAATGTGTCTAACTCATATGAGTGATATCTTGACTCCGCTGGCGAAGTTCTCCTACTGAAATATTCCACCACATGGGGTTTACTATTGATCGTATGCAGAAAAATTGCGCCATAGCCATCCTGACTGGCGTCTGTATGTAATTCTATAGCTAAACGCCGATATTCGGCCACCTGTGACACTGTTTTATCCGCGGACCATTGTGCGTTTATTATATCTTCTGCTTCGATCAGTAACGACTCTATTCGTGACCCAAAAGACGTTACAGATTCTGTAGTGCGCTGAACGCATCGGTTAAAATCATTACGAATCTGCTCTAAAGATCGTCTTTTTAGGTACGCTTTCTTAACGGCCATACACAAATCATTTACTGACGTGAAACTCTTCCCTCCTATACTTTCATAAGCTGACCTTACCAGTCTTTATTTAATACAGATTGTTAGACTAAGAGAATGCGTGTGGCAGTGCCTGTTGAGCCAACTCGCAACCCGCCACAAACTTGTAGACCTCTGATCGCACGTCGGAGCCATTGTCACCCGCAAAATATGGTACCACTTTGTTTACCATATCCACAATTGACACAATTGATGACATTGCGACTAGCGGCGTTTTTTCCTCACTTTGCCTAGACTCTCCCTCCATCTGCATTGATGGAGCCCCAATATTATCACAATTATCTAGTTTTCGTTGCAATTTCTTAATTTGCTCGCGCCAACGGCTGAAACAATTCTTCTTCCCGTTTGCCTCCAATAAGCTCTGTATCTCCTTCTCTGAATAGCCCCTCTTTTTCAACGCGCGTTCCACGATTGGCGAGTCACCCCTGCGATATCGCTTGCAAGTATTTTTGAAATATCCTCTTCGTTTTTCCCTACGTCTTGTTAAGTTTAACAAACCTAACATATTTTAGCTCGCTGGTAATCACGCTTATGAAGCAAATAAATATTGTAAATATTTACGTTTATAAGTTCAATAACTTCACATATTGTATTTATGCTTATGCAGCAATATGTGAAATTTTAATTATTATTTTAGTCACCAATAATTGTAATTATTATTATGCTTAGTAAGTAATTTTATACTATATAAGGAAACAATATTAATAATAAAGATGGAAAGCGAAAACAATCGTCTTTACTTCACAATCAAAAATTGGTTATTGGTAGATGTGCCTTTTAACCACTGTAGAAACAAAATAAAAATTATTTACTTACTTGGCTAGCGGTTTATGTGCCTGCAAGCCTTTCATCTTAACTACCTGATTATTGGTTTATGTGCCTAATAGTCAGTGTAACAAAGTAAGCAAATATAGACATTGATACCACCTCAGATTACGTGGTATACATTGGTGACCCCGACGTGATTGGCAAGAGCAACTCAGTGTGAGCCAGCAGCGTTTACAAAAAACCTTCATTGAAAACAACTTGTTTCAACGGAAATACAATAACCATGGATCCAAAATCAATATCCACTTTAACTGACCAGCAGGATTCAATTGGTTCAGAGATCGACAGAATCATTCGCAACTTCAAGAAGGACTCACCCAGCAGGAAAACACGTCAATATCTCGAAGATCGTAAAACAACTTTAGAACAGTTATTAGCTGACTTCAAGGCTAATGATGAGCAACTACAACAAGCCGATGTACTAGCAAGAACATCGGACTATTTCACACAAGATTACGGCATGGTAATCATAAATTTGGGTAACAAATATATCACCACAATAACTCAAGAGCTGGAAGCATTACTCATTAAGGCTCAACCATCAACAATAAAGGGGTTGGACCTTCAGATAAATAATGATGTTGAAGCTCCTGAAATAGTATTACCTACTGGTGGTCAAGAGAATGAAATTATTCAGGCATTAGTCAACAGACGAAATGCAGTGTGTAAATCAATCAATCGTCTCATCCACAATGTGAGACAAGATAACCAGCAACAGGTACCACAATATTTTGCAGTAAAATTAGCTACGCTTACCAAGTTATGGGATCAGGCTGAAGGTTTAAATTTTACTATTCAGGAACGGCAAGACAACCCTTCTGATTGCAATCATTATCTAGCACTTGAACAATTGGTGCAAGATACAATGGTGGAATGGACTAGTAAGTCGACCAAGATTGAGACATCAATTAGGTCAACTTACCAATCATCGGCTACTTTGCCAACAATATCTCTTCCAAAGTTCAGTGGAGATTATTTGAGTTGGCGACAATTCAGTGATCTGTTTGCACAACTAATACACAATCAAAGAATATCAGACTCACAGAAACTCTGGTATTTGAAAACCAATATTGAAGGCGAAGCTGAAGCACTCATCAAGCATTTGCAAATATCAGATGCAAATTATGAGACGGCATGGCAATTACTACAAAGTAGATATGAGAATAAAAGAGTTCTAGTATCAGCAGTTTTGCAACGTTTGACAGCTCAAAACTCTTTATATGACCATCCAACAGTCCAAGCCATTAAAAATATGCATGACACAACAAAGGAAAGTCTATGTGAACTTCATAATTTAAATATTGAAACATCAACTTGGGATCCAATTTTAGTTCACATACTATTAAAAAAATTGGATAAAAATACACATTGCAGTTTTGAACAAACTCTTACTAACCCAAAGGAGATGCCCACAATAAAACAATTCTTAGAATTTTTAGAATTGAGATTTCAGTCACTTGAGGCTATAGGTCTACGAGACAATGCAGTATATAAACCCAACAAAAGGATAGCCGTAACTATGGTTTGTTCAGATCTATGTAAAGTTTGTAATACAGATAAACATCCGATCTACTATTGCAAAAAGTTCATTGAAATGACTCCTCCTGAACGATTAAATTGGATTCAACGACAAAAACTATGTGTGAATTGTTTCAAATCCGATCATAAAGCAAAGGTTTGTGAAGCTGGATCATGTAAAAAATGTGCCAAGAAGCATAACACTTTGCTCCATTTAGAGCAACAGTCACCTAAACCTTCAAGGGCACCAGCAACAAACACAAAGTCAACCACAACATTGATCAACGCTAATGAATCGCCATCCATAACAGCAACAACTAATGCAAAGTGTACTCGTAATTACGTTCTGCTAGCCACTGCAAAGGTGCGCATTATTGCAAACAATGGACGAACGTGTGATGTTCGTGCCATACTCGACTCAGGGTCTCAAGTGAACCTAGTAACCCAAAGAGTAATCAACAAGTTATCTTTAATTACCACAAATTCAAATCTATCGATCGAAGGTATTGGCCGTCAATTCGGGAACTCAAAATCTCGCGTAAATGTTGAACTGCAGGCTACTAATGGAAGCTTCAGGACGAGACTAGAGGCATTTGTATTGCCACAAATAATATCAGCACAACCGTCACGAGACCTAGATATCTCGGATTGGCAGATCCCACAGAATGTAGAATTAGCAGACCCCAGCTTTAACAGATCTGGAAGAATTGACATGCTGATTGGTGCTGAATTCTATCATACTCTACTTCAACCAGAACAATTGATAATAGGAAAGAATTCGCCACTGTTACAAAATTCGGTTCTAGGTTGGTTGGTGGTTGGTAAGACTAAAACTACAACAGATATTAAACCAACATGCGCTATTACTACAGGAGAGGTTGGTGAAATGTCAGAAATGATAGAACGATTTTGGAAGTTAGATAACATTGAGACTGCAGAAAGGGTTTTGACTGTATCTGAGAAATGGTGTGAAAATCACTTTACAAATCATGTAAAGACAAATCGCGATGGTCGTTTCATTGTACGCTTACCTTTTCGCGATGATCCCACAACACTTGGTAGATCGCGTGAGATAGCATTCAATCGATTTTGTTCTCTGGAAAGGAAGTTACAAAGGGACCCAAATTTATACAAGCAGTACATTAAGTTCATGGATGACTACGAGTCATTAGGTCACATGGAAAAGGTTTGCCCGAAAGATGTCAAAGGAGCACAATATTTCATTCCTCATCATTGTGTCTTGAAACCTGACAGCACTACAACCAAATTGAGAGTTGTCTTTGATGCATCAGCAAAAACATCAAGCGGTTTAGCACTAAACGATATTTTGCACAAAGGTCCAACAGTGCAAAGTGATCTTTTTTCAATACTGTTGCGTTTTAGAATATACCGGTTTGTATTTACGGCCGATATTGAGAAAATGTACCGGCAAATTCAAGTACATGATGAAGATACAGCACAGCAGCTGATAATCTGGAGAAAAAGTGCTGATGATAGTATACAATATTACCGACTGAAAACGGTTACATATGGAACAAAGTCAGCCCCTTATCTTGCAACAAAATGTCTTCAACACCTTGCGAAACATAATATGACCAATTATCCGCTTGGAGCACCTGCATTACTTAATGATTTTTATGTAGATGACTGTTTAAGCGGAACTAACAGCATCATTACCGCCTTAGACACTCAACAACAACTTTCGGAACTGCTCAGTAAATCAGGATTTAAACTGAGAAAATGGTGCTCAAATAATACACGACTACTACAAAACATTCCGATAGAAGACCAAGAAATCAACCTTGATTTAGATGACTCAGCCATAAAGCCAACAAAAACATTAGGCATTATTTGGCTCCCGAAATCAGACGAATTTTGCGGTAAGGCAGAGATGTCATCAGAGCAACCTATCACGAAGCGGATTGTGGCATCGGACTTAGCTCGAATTTTTGATCCTTTGGGAATTTTTGGCCCCATTACTGTAACAGCTAAAATATTCATGCAGGAATTGTGGCAACAAAACTATTCCTGGGATGCGGAACTGTTACCTCAGGCTCAGCTAGAATGGAAGCGGTTTAGAACTGACTTACAAACATTAAATACTGTGAAAGTACCCAGACATATTTTTAATTCGAAGGTTCCCTGTTCGATTCAATTACACGTGTTTACGGATGCATCAGAGAAGGCATATGGAGCAGCTATGTACGTGCGAGCAATATATAATGATAAGACAATAACATCGAGACTATTGTGCGCCAAATCTAGAATAGCACCATTAAAAAAACAGACACTTCCACGACTAGAACTCTGCGCAGCATTGCTGGGAGTCGAATTAGCAGAAAGAGTTAAACAAGATTTAAAGTATCAAAACGTGCCAACCTACTTTTGGTCCGATTCCAAAATTGTTTTGTCATGGATAATATCTTCATCTGCCTCATTGCACACATTCGTAGCAAATCGTATTAGCAAAATTCAAGAGATGTCACATGCTGATCAATGGCATCATGTGGCATCAAAGGATAATCCTGCTGACATCATTTCCAGAGGAATAAAGGTTAAAATGTTCAATTATTCACATATATGGTTTTTTGGTCCACTCTTTCTTCATGGAAGTAACGAATTTTGGCAACAGCCAAACCCAAAGGCATTTAACATTTCAACTGATATCGAAAGACGACAAGGACATACAGTTAACATTATCATTCAAACGACTGGTTCTGATCACATGATAAATCAAATTGATCATCGAAACTCATTTAGATACCTTCAAAGAACAATTGCTTATGTTCGCCGTGTATTTCATCGCACACAATCACCAACAAGAACACTTTCTCCAAAAGAATTACGAGATGCATTAGTCTTCATAATTAAAACTATTCAGGGCTCAGAATTTGCAAAGGAAATCTCTGATTTAAAACAATGTAAAGCAGTCAACAGTTCGAGTCAACTAAATACTTTAGCACCGTTCATTGACGAACAAGGTGTACTTCGTGTTGGAGGAAGGCTTGAAGCATCAACATTGCCATATGATGCTAAACACCCAATGGTAATTCCTTACAATCACTCAATAGTGAAATTGATGTTCAAAATGAAACATGAAGAAAATTCCCATTGTGCTCCACAATTATTGCTAAGCATAATGAGACAAAACTTCTGGCCGATTAAAGGAAAGATTATGGCGCGAAACATTGTTCACAGCTGTGTCATCTGTTCAAAGGCAAAACCAAAACTGATGGACCAACTCATGGGCAACTTACCGACTGATCGAGTTACTCTAACTAAACCATTTTTTACCACAGGAGTTGATTACTGTGGTCCGATATGGATTCATTATAAAATTAGAGGAAAAAGGCCAACAAAGGCATATTTAGCAGTATTTTGCTGTTTCGCGACTAAGGCTGTTCACCTAGAAGTGGTGAGTGACCTGACAACAGAGGCATTCATAGCCGCTATTCAACGTTTTATCAGCAGAAGAGGAAGATGCCAAACAATTTATAGTGACAATGCGACTAACTTTGTTGGGGCGAGAAACCAACTACAAGAGCTCCAGTCTACCATTTATTCAGAAAATGGTAAAGAAAAGATCATTAAGACCAGTAGTAACAAGGGAATTGACTTCAAATTCATTCCACCAAGAGCTCCTCATTTTGGAGGACTCTGGGAAGCTGCCGTCAAGTCAGCTAAACATTTAATGATTAAAGGAATTTTCAGCGCTTCATTGACTTATGAAGAATTGACAACAGTCATAACTGAAATAGAAGCCATGTTAAATTCAAGGCCAATAACAAAAATGTCATCCGATCCAAATGATCTAACAGCGCTTACACCAGGACACTTTCTCATAGGCGAACCACCTACCACTAATGTAGATCCTTATCAAAAGGAGAGCCGAATGAGTTTATCATCACGATGGCGTTTAGTTTCTGAACTCAAACAAGAATTCTGGAGAAGATGGTCAAAGGAATATCTCAATGAACTCCAATCAAGGTACAAATGGAAACAACAAAAGGCAAATCTATGCCAAGGTGATTTAGTCATTATTAAAGATGATAATCTACCCATGTACAAATGGCCTCTCGGCAGGGTGCAACAGGTGTATGAAGGAGAAGATGGTTTGGTCCGTGTAGCTGACATAAAAACAGCCAATGGGATTTTTAAACGACCATTACGATCATTGGCCCCCTTACCCACTGAAGGCAGCATTAATCAAAATCCAACAAAACAAAATTCTACTGTCACACAAACAAGACGAACGAATGAACCTAGTGAAGCGTTGCCAAAGCGTCGAAAGATATATGATGGCACATCTTTAATGATGACCATACTTGTGACAATTTTGATGATACCATTAATACTTTCGAAACCCATTGAAGAAATATCATTTCCAAACAAACCCGGAATATATTTTGAAGGAATTGGCACCGTAAATCAAATCATTGGAAGATGGAAAATTATCACTTACTTTGAGTTCGAGCCTATTCGAAAGGAGATCGAAAGGTTTCAAAATGGCACAGCAGCACTTCAGCAATTGTGCCCATTGTTACAGCAACAAGAAAGCTGTTATGAGCTCGTCCGTCAATTCAATAATACTAACATAGAATTACGAACTGAAACGAAGGTCATGACGAGACACCGATCAGCCATTGGAGCCATCATATGGATGATATGGAAAATAAAGCAGGTAAAGCATCCAGAAGTCAATCAGCCAACACAAACTCTCACACCAAACGCGATGCCACGAACAAGATTTACTTTGGAGCCTGAAACAATTACATAGCTTCTCAAATTCTCATGATGCTATAAACTCTAAATTTTATATTTTTATGTTTATAATATTGTATAACTATTTAATGTTTAAAAATTATATGTGTATTTATATATCCACAAAATGTTGTAATTATTTTTTTTATTTTTTTTTGTTGATTTTTAAAAAAAAAAAAACACATAATGCATTGCAAATCAAATTAATCATTGCTCATAGATTCATTCTTGAATAACGTAATTCAAGCCGGGCAGAATGTTAAGTTTAACAAACCTAACATATTTTAGCTCGCTGGTAATCACGCTTATGAAGCAAATAAATATTGTAAATATTTACGTTTATAAGTTCAATAACTTCCCATATTGTATTTATGCTTATGGAGCAATATGTGAAATTTTAATTATTATTTTAGTCACCAATAATTGTAATTATTATTATGCTTAGTAAGTAATTCTATACTATATAAGGAAACAATATTAATAATAAAAATGGAAAGCGAAAACAATCGTCTTTACTTCACAATCAAAAATTGGTTATTGGTAGATGTGCCTTTTAACCACTGTAGAAACAAAATAAAAATTATTTACTTACTTGGCTAGCGGTTTATGTGCCTGCAAGCCTTTCATCTTAACTACCTGATTATTGGTTTATGTGCCTAATAGTCAGTGTAACAAAGTAAGCAAATATAGACATTGATACCACCTCAGATTACGTGGTATACATTGTTGCAAAACTGCTGTTAAACTTAACACGTCTTTTAGTGCCCCCTCCAGCAACGCAGTTTGCGTCTTATCTTATCCTTCTCCTCGAACTTGATACTACCAACTCTTTCTATCTGGTCCCATAAAAATTCGACCTCTAGTCAATTGCAAAAAATCTTTATCTTTATTTATTCCCCGTAACTGCTCCCACTCTTTCACCAATACCTTTCCTATAAAATTATTTACTGAAGTTAGCTCCTGCTTTAACTGCTCCACCCCATTCTCCATACAGCTTGCCTATCCACAATAATAAATTTTATAAAAAAAAATTAATTTGCTTGCGATGTTTAATTGAATTTGTCATGTAATTTCAAAAATAACAAAAAATAATTTTATTTTAATATCTTTTGGAATCATATATGACTTCACTTTTTAACCTTCTATGTTAGTGCCTAACAATATTTATTTCCATTTCAATATTTCCTATATGGAAACACATGAAACCGTAGTAATGTTGTGTAAAACTAACAATGAGAAACTCTAAATCTAATTTTTTTTTTTATAGCGTATTTTATATCTAAACATATATGTCCTCTTAAATCTCAAATTACTTATTAAAAATTATAATAGCCGACTAGAAAGAACTAAACAAATCAATTATGTGATTCAAATACACTGAAACTAAACCTAGAGTAAAAATTTTATAGACATATATATTAGGATTCTTTTTCTAATATTATAACTATTGCAACTTCATTTCCTTTTAATACTTCAAAATTTTGTATAAAAACAAGTTTTTACTATTATTAACATATATATAAATATCTACGCATAAATATGTAATATATGTAAGCACGTCTATGTAATATATAACTTATATATATTGAGAGAGAAAAAAGAATCCAATATCAAATTCTATATCTGATTAAATAAATACTTTGAACATTGAAATTTTAATTGAAAAAGTTGTTACAAAATAATGTTGTAAATAAAATAATTTTTCCGTCAGGAATTTATTACTTTATTATGTGAATTTTTCCCAACATAATTCATGCAAAATCCATAAGTTTCAAATTTAACAACACGAAACTTTAAAAAAAAAAATTTTCCTCAGTATAAACAACACAGAGAGAAAGAAAAAAATTACTTTTTAGCGAATTCTCCTAAACAAATTGAAAATGTATTCTAATTATAAAAAATATATAAAAATATAATTAATATAATTAACCAATTATTAATGATTTCCAGCATACATACTGTGCTACAATTAAAGTATTCTATACAAAAGATGAAATTTTCCGTTTTTTTTTTAACTATACCAATAATTTAATAATATTACAATGTTATTTAGAATGTACCATTTAAAAGTGTTTCCTTTTTATAGCCACTCTGTTGTTGTTGTTGGTTCTGCTTATTTGACGACGCGGCTGTTGTTGATTTGGTGATAATTGCTGTTGTTGTTGCTGGTATTTGGTTCTGTTGCAGTGAAGCGCGTTAGTTTCCAACAAAATTCCAAATTAAACTTTGTTTTAAAAGCTTTATTCTGTTTATAGTTTATTTAAAGTAAACACAATTTACACTTTGATTTTTGCGTCTTTAAATATAAAATTAAATTAATATTAAATTAATGTTTAATTTTCTGCTGCTGCCGTCCGTTGAGCTTTGAAGTCCAAAAGCTTTTTTTTTTTTTTATTTTATTATATTTTGATAATTGCACTTTAATGTTTTTGCACTCTTGTTTTTCTTTATATCTCTCTTTTTTTTTTATTTTAGTCTGCTAGAGTAAGGCCAAAGTAAAATATTAGTTCTCTTAGAAACTTTACTTCTCTTAACTTTTCTTACAAAAACTTGACTTTGCCTAAGTGAAAACCACGTTTTATCTTTGCGCTTTTGCTGTTGAACGTATGGTTGTTCTCGTTTTTCTTTTTTTTTTTTTTAAAAAACCAATTCCAATGTTTTTTAACAAAATTGTTAATATACATAATCCACTTCCGATTTTTTGTTTTATTTATTTTTTTTTTACAAAAATTTTCTATATTTGCAATGTAATTAAGTTTATTAATTATAACCACCATTTCTTTTATTTAATGTGACAAAAGTTTTAACGTTCAAATTTTCAAAAAAAAATACCGTACCATTATTAAGAACACATTTTTCCTTCTTATTTTCACTTCCGTTCACACTTTGTAAAAATGTGATTTTCAATATTATTCAATATTATACAATATTTTATAAAATTTGTTCAAATTTTTAAATTCGTAAGGTTTTATATATAAAAAAAGTAATATCGTTCAATTATCAAGAACACATTTTTTCTAATTTTGTTTTCACTTCCGTTCACATTTTGAAAAAAATGTGATCCTACCGGCTGCGCCAAAAATGTTAAGTCACATACATAAAATATGTATGCCTATACACTACAATTGCTTATTTTCAACTTTTAAAATATTTAATAATAAATTATTTAATTCCATTATTTAAGAGTATATTTTATTTATAACATTTCTTAAGTGCAGTTTTTCCATTTATTTATTAAATAATGAATATAATTTAATTTTAATTGAAAACTTTAAAATATTTTAAATAATTTTCCAGCTCCGATGTTTGTTTCAACTTAATTAAGTCACATACATAAAATATGTATGCCTCTACACTTCGCTTGCCTATTTTCAACTGACCCTGCTACCACGAGGTTCTGCAAGATCTCCCTCAACTGCACACGTTGTTCGAAAAAAGCTCGTCGGAATCGACCGGTTTATCTACTGCGCCTCTCTTACATGCGCGCTCACCATTTTCTGCCGGTCGACCTGACCCTGATGACACCCTATTGAAGGTGCATTCACAACATCACAAATTCGATGGTTTTACGATCGTACATGTTAAAATATGCAAAATATAAGAGTTTTGAGAAACTTACTGAAAATCACAAATTCGATGGTTTTACGATCGCACATGTTAAAATATGCAAAATATTAGAGTTTTTAGAAACTTATTGAAAATCACAGATTCGATGGTTTTACGATCGCACATGTTAAAATATGCAAAATATTAGAGTTTTGAGAAACTTATTGAAAATCACAAATTCGATGGTTTTATGATCGCACATGTTAAAATATGCAAAATATTAGAGTTTTGAGAAACTTATTGAAAATCACAAATTCGATGGTTTTATGATCGCACATGTTAAAATATGCACAATATTAGAGTTTTGAGAAACTTATTGAAAATCACAAATTCGATGGTTTTACGATCGCACATGTTAAAATATGCAAAATATTAGAGTTTTGAGAAACTTAATGAAAATCACAAATTCGATGGTTTTACGATCGCACATGTTAAAATATGCAAAATATTAAAGTTTTGAGAAACTTATTGAAAATCACAAATTCGATGGTTTTACGATCGAATATGTTAAAATGTGTAAAATATTAGAGTTTTGAGAAACTTATTGAAAATCACAAATTCTATGGTTTTACGATCGCACATGTTAAAATATGCAAAATATTAGAGTTTTGAGAAACTTATTGAAAATCACAAATTCGATGGTTTTACGATCGCATATGTAAAATGTGTAAATATTAGAGTTTTGAGAAACTTATTGAAAATCACAAATTCGATGGTTTTACGATCGTACATGTTAAAATATGCAAAATATTAGAGTTTTGAGAAACTTATTGAACATCACAAATTCGATGGTTTTACGATCGCACATGTTAAAATATGCAAAATATTAGAGTTTTTAGAAACTTATTGAAAATCACAGATTCGATGGTTTTACGATCGCACATGTTAAAATATGCAAAATATTAGAGTTTTGAGAAACTTATTGAAAATCACAAATTCGATGGTTTTATGATCGCACATGTTAAAATATGCAAAATATTAGAGTTTTGAGAAACTTATTGAAAATCACAAATTCGATGGTTTTATGATCGCACATGTTAAAATATGCACAATATTAGAGTTTTGAGAAACTTATTGAAAATCACAAATTCGATGGTTTTACGATCGCACATGTTAAAATATGCAAAATATTAGAGTTTTGAGAAACTTAATGAAAATCACAAATTCGATGGTTTTACGATCGCACATGTTAAAATATGCAAAATATTAAAGTTTTGAGAAACTTATTGAAAATCACAAATTCGATGGTTTTACGATCGTAAATGTTAAAATGTGTAAAATATAAGAGTTATAGAAACTTACTGAAAATCACAAATTCGATGATTTTACGATCGCATATGTTAAAATATGCAAAATATTAGAGTTTTGAGAAACTTATTGAAAATCACAAATTCAATGGTTTTACGATCG